ATATAATCAGTCTGGGTTTTACTTAAGAGAGTTAAACTAAACTGCCATGATGCATTGCATCCTCAATGAGTCCATTTATAGTTAAGCTTTGTCACAAAATCTTGCTTTGCATGAATAATTAACTAAGATCTAAGACACAGGGTGGATGAAGGGGAATGCAGGAACATTGTATCTGCTGTCAAATGCTTTATTTGGCTCAGGAAGAAAGAAAGAAACGGCAGCAGGTGAAGCCAATTAGTGCAGCTTAACATACAGAGCTGACATTCAGAAGGTGCTATTTTTTATTTAACATTATATATGTTCATCAGCAGATTCTTTATATAGATATAAAAGAGAAGAGAAAATGCTTTAGAAGAAAAGGTTTTCTTATCTGATAAACTTCATACATGAGTAAATATCTGTATTTACTTTATTGTGTTACTAAAAAAAGAAAAATCAAACAAAAAACTTAATGCTGACAAACAACACCCACAGTCATCTCTGTGGTCTGGCTGTTGACTTTTATCTATTCTATGTGTGGCATTAACTGCTTTATGAGACCTCACCCCTTTTAAGCTTTAGTTTATTTCACTTAATGCAGGATTCTCTATGTTTTCACAATCTTGGGGCAGAAAAATCTATTTTACTGCAGGGTAAAGAGGAGCCTTGTTTTTCACACATATTATTGTTGCAATTTAAGTGCAAGTTTGTTCAAAGAGTCAATCAGAAAGTGAGATCTAGTTGTGGCCCCTGCTGTTGTCCGAAATTGCTTTTAAAATTGCTTAAAAAAATTATAAAAACACCATTTTCAATATGTTTCTTTTTTCAGTATCTATTGTTGCAAGGCTCTGAAATGCACAGATTTCATTTTAAAGGGAAAAACCAACTTCAGCTCCATTATTCTGACTGAAAGCTGAACCCTTAATCAACTACAAATGTTGTCAATTGAAATTACAACTAATGTCAAAGCAACATTTTGATTTAATCCTTGTATCTTGCCTTAATTAATATTGTGCTTCAGGTTGCTAACGGTAACTGATATGACAAAAACTTACTTTCCCTTACTTTCATTTTTGAGATAATGTTAGGTTGAAAAATGTTTATTTTTTATTTGGGTATTGAACACATACTATGTGTTCCAGCTTGTTTGAATGCTATTCAGAGACTGTAACATAACAAGGGAAAAATGAATGAAAAACAGCCTTTTGACCTCTTTTGCTAGATGTGAATTATGTGTACTGTATATACATCATTCTAAACAAGCCTAAAAAGAAATTTTTTTGACTTTACCTGAGATCATTAGAGTGAAGACACCTCACCTGGCAGAAATATGTATACTTGGTATATATCCAAACTGTTATTCCAAACAAGTCAACTTTAATTGATTTTTTTACTCCTGCATGAGGAGGATGATAGCTCTGTCCTAGAGAAAAATGGATGTGCCCTAGATGCATATGTGGATAAAGAAGATGGCATCATGTGTTATGTTGAAAAGACTGACTTATATAACCAGGGGAAGAGTTTGAGACTGTATAGAATTAATAAGGTTTTTTTAAACGTCAAAGTGCTCAGACAACTCAGAACTGCTGCACTGATATGTTTTGTTGAGAGTTTGTGTTTTATTAAGTATTATTTAATTTGTTAAATGTGTGAAGTATGTGAATATTTTCTGGAAATTGTTTCTGTTCATTTAATGGATGTTATTGCTTTGATTACTGTCTCTTTGTACAAGAAAAATATATTTATAAAACTCAATAAAAATATTGTTGGAAAAAAAAGCCTAAAACTAGAAAGAAATATATGAACAGAGCAGTAATTAAAAGTGTAGTTGCTTACCGATACCAGGAATAACGTGGAAGAATTGGTCCAGGTCCTTGTCCACAGCGGTGGTAATGATCTTAACCTTCGGGAAGGCGTAGGCCACAGAGTGCACCCCAAGTTCAGCCATCAGCAGGGACACCAACATGATGTTGTCTTCCTGTACCTCGTGATCCTGCTCAGCCACACGCATTACAGATATATAATGTCAGTGGCTTATTTGTAATTATTATTAAAGACCCTTCTAGTGAGGAATATCTGATATTATATTTCTAAAATTCATCAAATAAGAATAAAAACACTTAATAATTGCACAGAAAAGCAATAATTTAGGTCTCACTGCTAAATCAGGGAGGACAAAGCAAAGCTTATCTTCACCCACCAACAGGACTCGCACCGCCATCATGGCTGCGGCGCCGGTGGAGACTGTGCTGTCCATTAGGATGACATGATCCTCGCTGATGTCTTTAGGCAAGCGCAAGTAGTGCAACTGGCCGGGCCAGACCAGAGGAGGCCGGTTACCATGGTTACAGGCACAGGACAGGTAGTTTCCACGGAGACAAGCATCACGAGGAAGAACATTTTTTAAGAACAATGGTGGAAGTCATTTTGAGACACTGTGTTGAATAGCAAAGAGGGCCAGGTTGGGTCGAGGCGTCTGATACCTCTGGCTCGCCTGAGTCCAGGTTGGTCTGGATGAGAATTTTCCCGATGCGGACGTCCTTGCACACGGCCCTCAGTGCAGGCTCCATGGTCTCTCCTGCCCTTAGGATGGACACGCCGGTAATCTGTGGAGACGAGCGAAGGGAGTGATTGTAATGAGAGGTAACAGTCAACATGGGGCTAACAGAACATTACTCACTCCTTTCCCATTGTAGCTGCGGCCCTCGTATTCTGAGCCCTGTGGAGTCTGAACCACACAAGGCTGCAAAAAAAAAAGAAAACAAATGTAATTTTTTTGGCTGACACTAGTAATGTTCAGACATTTATTATGTACTCCAAGTAAGCCTCTAAAGTGGTTTCTACTCAAGATGTCTTCCGGTTTTTTAAACATCTTTCACAATTTCTGGGGGCTTTGATGCCTTTTCTTTTTTTTTTGTGGACCATTCGACAAAACAGACTTATTTTAACTTGACGCAACAGGTCTTATCCATGAAAGACATCCACACTGACAGGACTGGACTTGCTGAAGAAAAGAATATTCATCACTTTTCTTTGTTTATGCACTTTCTTTAGGTCTGCTCGCAATATTTAAGCTCATTTAGAACCTGCTGCTGTTCTTCAGATCAGTACTCTGTTGATGACCAAATTTGGGTCTAGATTCAGCTGACAAACAGATCCAAAAAAATTAAGTTTACAAAAATCAACTTGCTGAAAAGAAGGTATTAAGAGGTAGTCAACTTTGACTCACCTGAGAAGGTAGAAATGTCAGCGCATACTCGATAAGAAGACGCATTAATCTCTTTGAGTAGAAGATGAATTCATCACGGCTGGTCTCCTTGTTCCTGCGGTGGAGCAACATTAAATGTCTTTAGACCTTTACAGGCACAGTAGGAAGGATTTCAGGCTTCATATGACTGCATGTTTTACTACCTGATGATGGTGTGAAGGCCTCGGACCTGTGGCGTGCTTTCCAGCACACTAAGAGTCTGAGGCAGCGGCTGAGTCTGTTGAACAGAGGCCAGGAGTGCTCTGAGAGGGAAAAAAAGGTAATGTTAGACAATCCAACTCCAGCTACAGATTCGGGCTTCAATATGGCTTCTTAGTGATTGATTTCTTGATTATTTCCCAGGGTAAAAAGATCAATCAAGATCAATGAACCTTTAAGGCATGAAACTGGCATTAAAAGAACAGTTTTGTTTTCTGAATAATACAAGCAGTTTGCAAAACGCTAAACAGGATTCGGACCAGGACTTTAGAAAGGCCATTCCAGAAAGTTAACAGCAGCATTTTAAAATTAGTTTTTAAACTACTATACTATTTGCGAATTTATAGGTATAATATATCTTGAAGAAGTTCCAGCTGTCTGAAGGAGATTGAGTTGGATGTTCAGAAGCAACCAAGTCCCTCAGAAGAAAAACATTAAGGGTCGGACAAAATAAAAACTGTGATATTTATAGATGCTGGAGATCGGCCTGTTTTCCAGTGTGGTCCTGTTTCTCTGACCGTGACTGGCTGGATGTGCTCTCTTTATCCTATGGCATGGGAGCTGGCTTGGAGCTCGACTGCCTGGCTGTGTTTCTCCTGGATGGGTCCGCCTTTTACAGCTACTTTTTGTGTCTCTGCTTCTGTCTCCTTGAACCCCAGTCGGCCTCAGCAGATGGCCGCTCACACTGAGCCTGGTTCTGCTGGAGGTTTCTTCCTGTTAAAAGGGAGTTTTTCCTCTCCACTGTCGCTACAAGCATGCTTAATGTGAGGGATTGCTGAAGAGTCAATGAGTCAATGCAATCAACTGGTTTTCCTTAGATAGAAAACTTTGTATCAATTTGACTGTATGATCTGGTTGAACTGTAAAGTGCCTTGAGATGACATGTGTTGTGAATTAGCGCTATATAAATAAACTGAATTGAATTGAATATTGGGTGAAACTTTCAAATTTAAAAACATCATTACAAACATTATAGCAGCTTTTACATATGGAAGCGTTTGCATCAATCAGGAGGACTGCCAGGGAAGAAGAGAAAGGACTGACCAAGAAGTAGGAATAAAAGACTCTTAAAACCTAGTTTTAGAGAATAAAAGCTACATCAAGTTTCTGCAATGGCCTTTTCTTAGTCCTACCATCAATACTACTGAAAGTTTAGAAACTATGCATACAGTCTGTGCCTTTAAAATCTATACATTTAGATAAGTGTTAAAAATTCTGATATTACAGGATGAAGGCACAACTTGCAAAGGGGAATTTAAGAAAATACTACTGTGAGGGAATGTGTATTTTTAAACTTTTTATCTAAGGTATGGGTTATAATGCTGCCCTGGAAAGAGAAATTAAATCCTTAAAAGTCCAATAATTAATATGATAATCATGCATATGAATAATGTATGTAAACCTTTGGCCATTACAGTAAATGAAGCAGAGAGACTATAAGACTTTGAGATGCAGATTGGCTTAAAAAGCAGTGAATGTGAGAGTGCATACAGAGAGGAGATAAATCTGCCAACGAGTCAAGTTTTGGGTTGTTGGGGATTTTAAAATAGGTATCAGCGTACCTGACACTGAGCTCGCGCTGCACAAAGAGAAAAGAAATCAATTGAAAAGAACAAGAAAGTTGAGAAAGAGAAGAAAAGACTTTGTTAGGCCTTTTCATGTTTCCTTCCCTCAAAAATCCATAGTTAATACATACCTTTATAAGACGCCTAAAGACATGCTGAATATATTAAAAAGAACAAGTCTAATTCTGATGAAGGGAAACTTTCTCAGTCTAAACTTCAGATTTGTGTTCAGTTCAGTTTGTGTTCATACTAATAAAGGAACAAATCAATTTAGCCAAATTCTGTCAGTTCTAAATAGTTTTGTTTTTATTTATATAGAGAAAGCTAAACCGTCATTTGAATATTTTTTGTTTAATATATTCTGTTTTTCTCGTAATTAATTTACTGACATCAAAAACTCTTTCATTTAATTGGCAGCAAGCTTTAGTATTTTGAAAGTGTAAAACAATAAAGTACAAAAAATATATAGACAGGTCCTGAACTTTTAGGAAAACCCATCTGAAAGTTGGAGGAGGTGATTTTTTCCCCATACAATATCAATTGCTGTTATAGTCTAATGTGTAAACTATAAATGTTTGATACATAAACTACTGTATATGTATAGTACATAAATATATTCCTGTGATCTGGATCACCACAAAACAGGCTTACATCAAAGGCAACAAGGCCTTCACTCAGACACCTATCCTGAAAAAAAAATAAATACAATTTATGTAAACTGAGTTAAAATCTGTTTTGTGGTTACATAAATACATATCTATTTCATTCTTGTTATTATATAAAGTAGTCTGTGTTAATTCTGCTTATTTGCCACTGATTTATAATTTACATTTTCTGTTCTCGATTTACGCTTTCCGTTCACTTGTCTTAAAATCCCTTAAAAAAAATCTAACTTTAATTGCTTCGTGAGTAAAAAAAATAATTTCCATCTAGTCCATAGCAAAATCTACAAATTTACACTTTCACAATGAAGAAAAAAATCAACTATTTAAATGTCATTTTAATCATTTTGATTTTACTTTACACAGAAATAAAAGTTTAAAAACAGAATTTCAGTCAAATTTATGAACAGAATTCGATAACCCATTTAAATCAAACAAATGACATAAAAAGGATTTGCAAAAATCAAAACTAGCCTTTTAGAAGCTCTGTAAATAAATATTTCTAGAGGTTGCTAAGGACTGAAGTTAATAATAGTAAAAAGTATGTTGATACTCAATAACTAAATGGGAATCTTTAAAATAACATTTTTTTTTTCCATTTAGAGTATAAATAATATAAAATTATATATAAGCCTGTAAATTACATCTATTGAACACAAGGTGGCGCCACATACTAACCTCCTCCAGCTGGCTGTGGACGTGCTGAACTATCAGATCAATGGCCACCATGTTCCCACCACCTTTAAATAGAGCAAATTAAGATAAATATGGCATCAAGGTGTTTCCTGCTCAGAGGGTCTGCAGCGTTGCTCACCTCGAGGTACGACGATGTCAGCCAGCCTCATGGTCGGCTCGATGTACTGCTCAAACGCCGGCTTCACAAACTTATTGTACTGCTTGATGACGCCTTCAATGTCCCGGCCGCGCTCTGTGATGTCCCTGCGGAGCCGGCGGACGAGTCGAATGTCTGAGTCTGTGTCGACAAAGATTTTCATATCCAAGAGCTGCAGACGGGGGGAGAACAAGACCCCAATGAGGGCTTCAATCAAGTCAAGTTCAGCAGAGCGGCTGAACTACACAACAGCTTCTGATTACTTCAAAAAAATCTTCAGATGTTGAGGAATGAAAGATCTGCTGCCGTACCTGAAGAAGCTCTTTGTCCGCAAAAGACATAATTCCCTCAAATATGATAACACTGGCCCCATACACATTTTTCTGAAGAAAGAGAAGAAGAAAAAAGTCTGAGGAAAAGATAAAAGCAGCAGTGGGTCTCTGTAGGAAAGCTAGTAATTTCAATTTACTTCTTTAATATTCATTTTGATATTTTAGCCTTCCACCCAGCAGGCTCTACTTTATTTCTCTTAAACCCATAAAAAGCATACTAAATCTAGTTGTTATACCCAAAATTATGCTTTAACGAGTAATCAAGGCTAACATGTACCCAGTCTTTCTGTCTCCTGTGTGTGGTGAAATCGTACACTGGAATCTTCACGCTCTTTCCCTGCTTGAGCTTTCGCAGGGTGGACACCAGCAGCTCGAAGTCGAACGCCCCAGGGTGGTCAAAGTTGTAGTCATTCTTTGCTGCCAGGAGCTGCTCCTCTGGAGATAAGACCTGGAGCGAACACAGCATGTGGCATCAGAAACATTTCTGACTCAGAGGAGGCTTTCATGATACGCTGTGAGGTCTCATAACGATAAGTAGCTGCTTTAATTTGTAAATAACTTCTTGCTTTTGGATAAATTCAGCATCTCAGCCTTTTCTGTCATGGCCTCTCAGTAGAGCGTTGGTTAATTATTTATAAATCTTGAACCTTTCTGCATTGTCACAAAATGGATTTGGATGGGATCTCATGTCATAAATCAACACTAAATAATGTACATTAAGGGGCAGAAGAAAAATGTAACGCTGTGGAAAAACCTTTCAATGCAACTAGTCACATAGTATATTTGTAGCATATCTCCAGTAGTTCTAGCCCATTATTATTTTCAAAATTCCTGAAACAAAGTAGCGAAAAAATCATCTGCAAACAGCATTTGTCAAATTTTGTCATGAATAATGTTGGGATTTAGGTCTGAACTTTGACTGGACCATTCTAATACAAAAGCATGCCTGGATTCAATCTAGGGCGGAAACAATCAATCAGATTAATTGTGATTAATTGATTATTGAAATAATCATCAACTAATTAAGTAATCTACTAATCGTTAAATGGAATATAGAGACTCTAAAACATGCCTTTGGCTGACAGAGCAACCCATTTAGAGCACTAATTATACCAAAACGTACAAAATTTGTATTTGCATTTAAAATAAAACATTTTCATCTGTCAGTATGCTCTATCCAGGACTCCACATACAGTATTTACTTTCACCTGATTTGATTTCTTAAGCAGTCTTCTTTAAGGAACCTTTGGCTGTCATAGTACTGATCGATTCATCCAAAAAATTATCAACAGATTAATCAGTCTGCAAAATAACCGTTAGTTGCAGCCCTAATCCAAACACTTCCTCTTTAGCTCTGGCAGTATATGTTTCATCATTCTGTTATAAATTGAACTTCTGCTAATGTTTGGAGTCTTTTTCTTCTTTCATTATTTAGCCTCATCTGTATTCCAGTCAACCGTGACAAACTTTGATGTTTGTTTAGAAGATAAGCACCCCCACAGGGTAATGCTACCACTACCATGTTAATAGCTGTGCATGTTGGCCAGCAATACTCAAACTGAATCAGACTGTCATTGTGTTTAACTGAAAAGGAGATTTCTAATGAGTAATACTTTTCATTCTTCCTTATGGCCCAGATTACTGATTGATTGATTGATTGATTGATTGATTGATTGATTGATTGATTGATTGATTGATTGATTGATTGATTGTGGAGAAATTTACTCATTACATCAGCTCAAATAGTCAAAGGAGAAGAATGTGCAAAAGGAAGAAAGATGGATGGGATATGTTGGAGCCGTTTTGCATCTCTTTTGATTTTTTTCTTCTGAATTTATTATGAACTTATTCGCATTCTAATTCTCCTGATTTAGTTTTGAATCTTTAGTTGGAAATATGTCTGTTTTCGTTCTGATTTGTTTATTTGCTCTCTTCCTGTCTGTGGGCGTGACGTTGAGCTGATTTGATTAATAGGTGCTGTCACCTGCCGCTCAGGTAGAGTGGAAGGGACAAACAGTTTTTCAACCGCGTGATGCGGGAGCGCTTTTGTTTTGTACGTTAGTGAAAGACAAATAAATGCCTCAATTTTTCGAAGACGCGCGTTGGATCTGATCTATATTTCCACTCTGAAGCGGTGGCTCCGAAGTTGCCACTGCAGGATATATATACAGTATACACAGTGCATCCACATATGACAACCTTTTTTTTATTATAGTAAGATCATTATATAGTTTTATTGCAAAGGGTGTTAACATGGGAATTTACTGTATATAGATGGATGTCAAATATAGAGAAACATGTTATTGGACAGGGTATCAAATAGTAATTGCACATTATACATTGCAAAAGTTATTCATTTTTTTAGTGTTGTATTACAGAGTCTGGATTAAATGCTAATTAAGTCTCTAATTTAGTCTGGATCTAGATTAGAGTCTCATCACCACACAGATGGTCTAATTAGGTGACTTCTGGAAGAGGTTGGTATCCATGGATTTTATTTAGGGATATTACTTTAAAAGCAGCTGATAACCGGTGCATACTTTTCAGAGCAAAATACTTTTTAAACCTCTTCACAATTTAGCATGACTTTGTGTTGATCTATCACACACAAAACAAAGACACAATATTATAGATGGTTTTCTAATTCTCATGTTCAGACAGCCCTCACACATAAATGCACATGTTCTTTTTAATTTTTGCAATCTTTACTAGAGTAATAATGAACCACAGAAAAATGGTATTCGTCTGTATTTATTGAGCCCCTTTAGAGTTCATTAACTATTTATAGTTAATTGGTTTCAGCAACATTAAAACTCTACAGAAGAAAAGAAAAATCATGACGTAGGTTTAATGGTTTGTTCCTGTCTAAATTTCAAAAGGAGGATTGTCTTGTTGTTTTGTGCTCAAAAGCTGGAAGATTAATAAAATGTCTCCTTATAGAAATTATAGAAATTAAAAGCAAAAGAAAAAATAAGCGTGCATGGTAAACTCACCTTGTAGAAAGAGTCCATAGACAGCAGCACGACCCAAGGCACATCCAGGGCCTCAATGATTTTATTTGCTACGGTGGTTTTCCCTGAGGCGCTTCCCCCACACAGCCCTGCAGACAGTAATTCAAATACATAGAATCTGTGTATCTAGAGTAGAATATCTAATGTCTGGTGGTACTGTATGCATGAGTGAATGTTTTTAATTGTTCATGATATAAAGAGGGAAGGTACAAAGAGATGGATCCTGCAGATCAGAGCAACAACATGACCTGAATATAGAGAAAACAAACATTGTCATACCAATGACAAAGGCCTCCTTTGACTGAGCTCCGTGCTCGTCATACCAGGGAGGGCGGCCGGCGGTGTAAATGGTGCGCGTGCCTGTGCGGAGCAGAGGGGGCTCTGTTTTACTCAGCGTGGTGGTGCTCTTCCTGCGGGGGGCCCCGGCATGAGGCAGGAGCCGGTCCAACGAGTCCTCCCCACTCCCACTGCAACACAGCAAACCGCCGGGCAGGTCACAGCCTGATGCAGACATGATGCACGAGGAGCTGAAACACTCCTGTTTACCAGATCCAATCAGCACCAAGACTAGAATCTTCACAAGCGATGGGAGCATTTGTGAAAAGTGTTATCAGAGGTTTGCTTCTGCACAGCTTTGACTTTTTTATTTTATTTTTTTTACATTTTACTTCATCCAAACATTTCATGATATTATAAAGTGAGCTTTCATCATTTCTATGGCTCCTGATATGGGGACATTGCAGCTAGAATAGAAATTATCAGATCCAGATGCTTTTATCAGGAAAATCAAGGGTGGAGGAGTTTGCAGGATATAACTGCTACTCAGTGTAAAAGAGTCAAAGCCTATAAAAAGAAAAAAATGATTCAACTAATTTGCTTCCCAAAGCAGACAGAGACACCAGCATTCCTTTATAGTCCTGTAATTTCTCTCCCAGCTGCTGTGACATCACTTTATCTAATTTCCTCTTCAGTTTCCTGCAATAGATGTTTCTGTTTTCACATAAGAATATCTTCTCTAATGACTTCTGCTCGTTGTAACCCACAGCTTGTTATTTGCATCATGTCAGACTTATTTATTTATTTTTTTTCAGAAATAGACCAATCCACACAGAATCCAATAGAGACTGAAATTAAGACTTTTAAGCTGCTTGTTCTTCCTATGAGCTTCATAAAATGCTTTTTAATTGATGCCTGTTTAAAAAGAAAAGCTTATATCTATGTATGATATTTGCATAAAACAGATCCTTAGACTTATTTTCTATTCTGGTAAGATGGATTTTACAAATACAAATATTTTTTTCCATGATTATCCAAACCTGGAAATGCTGCAGTAAATTTCCAGTTGGAAACTCTGCGTTCTGCATAGATAGATTTGAGGACTCCTCGGGTCGCAGCTACACATTCTTTATGTGCATACAGAATGAGGCAAGACGTGAATGGAAATGAGGACTAATGACTGTTTTCAATCTGTAACTCTGATGCAGAGCCAAATTATAGCAGCTCTCTCACCCAAATCCCTGCAAACCAAACCAGATCCTGCACTTCCCCTGACCTCTGAACACACCCCGCTTAGAAACTATTTAAAGCCCACATGCATACACAACCACAGTGGGTATATAAAAAAAAAAAAAAAGCTCATGCAGGGAAGCATTCCTCCCACCTGTGATGAGTAACAGCAATGATCAGTCAGATCTTACCTGCGGTCAGTTCTCAGTGACCAACACCCAGAAATTCTGGCTCCAGTGCAATCAAGCAGAGTCATATCTGATCCGCATGACATCCTGCTACCTTTTAGCTTGGCCAGTAACCGTGGTAACCTTTCTAAAACAACAATAGGTGGACCCAATGCTGTGGTGGAACTGGTATACTCTGTGTGTGAGCTACAGGTCTGTTTGTTGCCGGCTTTCACTCATGTGTATCTGTGAAGCCTGAACTATCACCTGTAAGCCTGCTCCACGCTGCTGCCAAAGCGTGGGACACTAAGAGGATCACACCGTCGGCAAAGAGCCGCTTGGCTGGTATTAATAGAGACACCTGTAGACACAAGGACGACGAGATGCACTTTACCCGTTGATCCGCACTCTGTGCTCAATAATCTGTTGCACAGAACACTTCATTACAAAGGCAAATTTTCAAAAACCGCTCCGCATCTCAACAATGGAGCTGGAGTAATTTGGTTTTTAATTTCACAGTGCAAACAATCCAGCAACCTCTCTATAATTTACACTTGGAGATTATAGAAAGGCTCTCCACAACTTTCCTCCCAGGGACCAAAGCAGAAAACCCTCAGGATATGCTTCCTCTCAATAACAAGCTAAAACACAAGCCACTGTATGAAGAAGGAACACAAACAGTAGAGCAGTGACGCGTACAAATATAGATTGTTTTAAGACGTTTGTTTACAAATATAGATGCAGAGCTGTTAAAGAAGAAATCTGAAAAATAAACAACAGCCACACTTTCACTTCTCGATGTAGCTACATATAGTTGTGTCTACTATATCATGATCTGAATGGTATACACATATTTATATATAAGCTTAGATCAAAATCCACCAGCAGAACATGTATTTTATTTCACCTATTAACCACAACACCCTGTGTGATGCTACCTCCACTGTTTATATGTGACAAACTGCAAAGCTAACAGATTTCTACGATTTACTTTGTTAAATATCAACTCCTTAATCACTTCCGTGTCCAAATATACCTTATTTTAACATTTTCACCATTATATGATGTCCTAAACAATAGGTCTGCAACCTTTAAAATCTAAAGAACTATTTCTGCCTTCGGTCCAGCTGAGAAAATGAGTTTGGGGCTGTTACTGTTTATTTGCTTCAACACCTTTTTTTATCTTCACTTGATTTTATTCTGCTTTTTATCTTCCTTCTATGTATTTTTAGCACTTTGAATTGCACTGAATTGGGCTGTATGAATAAACTTACCTTGCCATTAAAAAAGCACACATGAAAGATAGGTCTAATAAAATATTACTTTTATTTTGGCAATCATTGGAGGACATAGGGACCCCTATTTCATCACTCTGCTTCTTTCTATCTCTATTCTCCTACTCTGCAGAATCTGTTAGTTCAATCTCTAACGTTCTGCTCTCTCTGCTTATTCTCATAGTAGCTTCATCTGGTCTGTTCCTGTTTGGCTGCGACTCCATCCTGGAGAGAAATATCAGCTGTGCTGCTGCCACCAACACCTTTGTTTATAGATGTTCGAGATCAGCCTGTTTTTTTAGTGTAGTCCTGTTTCTCTGTCTGTGACTAACTGGATGTGCTCTCTTCATCTTCTGACATGGGAGCTGGCTTGGAGCTCGTCTGCCTGGCTGTGTGTTTCCTGGACGGGGCCGCCTTTTACAGTTGCTTTCAGAATCTCTGCTTCTGTCTCCTCGAACCCCAGTCGGCCTCAGCAGATGGCCGCTCACACTGAGCCTAGTTCTGCTGGAAGTTTCTTCCTGTTAAAAGGGAGGTTTTCCTCTCCACTGTCACTGCAAGCATGCTTAGTGTGAGGGATTGCTGAAGAGTCAATGAGTCGATGCAATCAACTGGTTTTCCTTAGACAGAAAACTTTTAATAAATTTGACTGTATGATCTGGTGAACTGTAAAGTGCCTTGAGATGACATGTGTTGTAAATTGGCGCTATAGAAATAAACAGAATTGATTTGTGGCAATTTAATGCAATTTTTCCTTTTAATAATAAAAAAGACTATATGTAAAAACTGCTAAAATCAGAAATGGCTATTTAAAAAAAAGGCTGTTTCTTCTTTTTCAATAAAAAATGTAGGTTTGAAAACCGTGGAAGCTGAAATAGTCAGCTAAAGCCTCTTAGAGCGATCCAGAGGTTTCCTAATAATCTATGACGTAGACGGTGACGCCATACATCACCTACTTTTGATTAACTACATGCTTAACACATAATTGCGCTGTTAAACGAACCCAAAATGATACATTTATTTATTTGCAGCTATAATTACGTTTAGGCAAATATTTGTATTTACTTTGTTTAGATACAGAGCAGTTAGCGAGCACGTCACGAGCGCTCAGGGTTATATGACAGGGTAAACAGCCCGCTGCGGCATGGGTCCAAATAATAAACAACCAACGCTTTTTTTTCTACCTGCGCAGTTTAAAAACAGGTAAAAACACTGGTAGTATGGAGTACCTGTCCGAACGGGACGTCATTATTTTCAACCCCTCTGCATCCGCCGGAGTCCTGCATCGGCTGTAGTCTTGAATGGAGTCCTGCTCTGACACGTAGGGGATTGTGGGTAATGTAGTCATTATGTCTGCCCCCTTCCAGATCTCTCCAAACTCTCACAAAAAAGGCGCTTATATTTCAATAGTTTAATTTAATAATTAAATGTTGACATAAAAAAAGGTTTAGACAGTCACGAAATAACATTTTGACATGAATATAACAACCAAGCAGATAAACAGTACAATGCTGAATAAGATTGTCATGAGGCATTTTCATCACAGTCTGTAAAGGTTTTGTTTCCTTCATGTGTTGTAGATGGTCCTGATAAATAACATTATTCTGGATTCACTGCAAGATGGATGGATTTATTCCACAAGTTTGATTCAGCTTCAATGAGCTTCGATGGTCCAGGAAGTCCAGTTCTTTTCTGTTAAGATATCCTTCCAAATGTACCTAAAGTTGAAAAACAGAAATAAACTAAATTTAGAACAGTCAGGTTTTGTTTATCTTTCAAGCATCAAATAAGACCAACATCCCCCTGTCTCCCAGACAGCTGGTTCTTATTTCTTCCAGGCAGAATGACTGGAAACAGCTGGGATGGCTTCATGCACAAAGGAATATCCAAAAGAACAAGGCTTTTAACATGTTAGAGCTCGCTGGGAAAAAAAAAAAAACTGTGTCAAAACAAAAGAGTAAAAACAACAATTTGCTGTCATCGAAAAAGAGAGCCGGCTTCTCGGGAGTTGCCAGGGAACAGACAGAAGACAATTCAGCTCATTATCTTTATTAAGAAATTCAATAAAGCCAGAGAATGAAAAGTGAGCTCTATTAACTGTTCTCTTTTGGCTTGTTTTCATTGTACTAGTTATATCCAGCTAAGCTAAACTGACCAAGCATTTTTAATCAAAAGAGTGTTCAGGCTGTGTTGTTTTGTGAAGGCTAAGCAAAGTGAGGACTGGATGCTCCTTGTTTTCCTGGCTAGTCCATAAATTTCAGAGATCATGTAAAGGCACATTTACAATTCAGGAGCCTTTTTCTTAAAACAGAGCAGTTTTCTTCACACCCTGCCCTTATAATTCAGTTTCTACTGCATCTTCCTGCATAAAAACAGATTACCAGAAGATGGGATAGGAAAGTACTTCTTTTGCTATGAAGGTCTGCAAAGGAAACATTTCTGATTAGTTGAACGTTCTCAGAATACATTTTTAGTCAGCTAAACGTTTTTTGTTTTTTTTGGTAATAAAAATCTTCATAGTATGTTGCATGGTGTAATTTAGTGGAACATCTCGAAGATTATGAAAAATATTTCTGTTCATATTACATATTTCTGCAGCGTTTTAAGGGATTGTTTTGTTTCAGAATTTAGCTTCTATGTAGGAAAGAAAAAACTCTATCATAGGGTAGTGGGCTGTAAAGAAGATATCCTCTTAACCAGAGATTGGAAGTAACGAAGTACAAATACTTCGTTACTGTACTCAAGTAGATTTTTCTGATATTTTACTTTACTTTACTACTTATTTTTATTCTACTCCTTACATTTTTACACAAATATCTGTACTTTCTACT